ATCGGTGTTATCCCTTTGTCCGACTTCCGGTGGTGTTCCCGACGCCGATTCAACGTATTGAATCGGCAAGAAAAGGCGTCAGGTCGGCAGAAAAGACCCGACGGTGCGGCGCACACCAGTCCGAATAGGGCGTGCCCACGCTCATGTTCGGCCCGACTCCCATTTACTGCCGATTTCGGGCCGGTGTATCTGGGCCTTAACCATTAGCCAATCAGCAACCAAGGTATCCGATAGTGCCTGGAATTTTGCGTTCACAGCAAAAAGAGAACTTGGTTCAGAGAACATTTACCCCCATTTTTAGTGCCTGCTAGAGAGGTGGGACTATCCTGGGGAGAAAAAAGTACCAATTTCTGATTGGCTGGGTGAATTGCAAACCACGGCCCGTAAAACTCGGGAGCCCAGCAGCTTCTACTAAAGCCAGTCCCCAACTCCGGGGACTTCCGGCCGGGGACTTCGGGTGGCAGTATACGCCGTGAAGTTGTTTGCGGCCTGCCAGTAAACCCAAAGCAGAAGAAGACAAAGTGACATCAGCGGCTCATTTGCGTAATCTTCCCTCAGGGACTTAACGCGATCGGCTCTTTAGTTCCATGGGGGAACTAAGTGCTGGGAACTAAGTACGGCAAAGTACTTGGTGTGAACGCGGCTAATGAGTTTGATATTATTTGACTTGCAGTGCTTTGGGGAAACAGGCACCCCTGTCTGCATTTAGTGAAAACATGCATTTCAAGCTTTCACACTACAGACCTGTTCTTCCTCATTCTACGTTTTGGCTGACAACCTGCAGAATTTAACTCTTCTTATCCTTTGAGTGCTGGATAGCTATTTCTTATAAAGTGCTTCACCATTTTCTTAAGGAAGAATCATTTTCTAACAGGAGGAGGTAATGGTGTTGGAGCGCATTCTGCTGCAGACCATCAAGTTCGACCTGCAGGTGGAGCACCCCTACCAGTTCCTGCTGCGCTATGCCAAGCAGCTGAAAGGTACCTCTGTTTCCCTTTGCCTCTTTAGGGTTTTTTCGCAAAGACTAAATAAAGACAAATATATTGAGAAGAGTAGTTGGACCAGAAATTGAAATGAGAACTTGACTGTAGTGTGTGGTTAGAAACAAGTCAGTCATTGAGGAAGTGCCTGATGGGGTGTCCGGGGGTGCTGGGGGTTGTAAGAAGCTGATGTTAATAATTCCTGTGTTGTTCAGGGGACAAAAACAAGGTGCAGAAGCTGGTTCAGATGGCCTGGACCTTTGTGAACGACAGGTGAGTCCACAGACGGTGACTAAGTGAATAAGGAATAATAGGTTGACAAAGGTAAAGATATTTGTTTCAATATTTATTATATAATTACTGTTTCAAGGGTATGGAAGCAGGCCAAAACGATTAACACAATTATGTTTAATCAATATTGCACTCACAATTATTTATCATGTTTATTCATTTATTTTAGCATCATAGTGTGTTTTTGCATTTTAACATCTTAATAAAAGAGCGCTGTCACTTCCGTGTTGTGCTATATTGCAATATACCATACTGTATATTGCAATATACAACAATCTATATTCTATAGACTACAATATAAAGTTAAATGCATACATCTGGTGCAAGAACTAAAGTAGGAGGCCAGATAAACATAAAACACTTAATTTAACCAAAGCAATCTACAATACGTGCAGTTAACCATCAGGACACAAACTCATTCAATACATGACATGTCAGTGTTCTTCACCTGTAACACAACCTATAGTATTCTGTTTCTAATTTGTTTCATTAAAGGGGAAAAGCCCTAAAAGAAAGGTGCTCACACAAACAATGTTGTACTCTAGTAAACAATTTAAATATGAAAACAATGGTTCTATAGATTTGATGGTGATTGGTGAAAACACAGCAAAAAACGAATTGCCATTAAAAAATGTATTCATTCTGCAGCTGTGAAAAAGCCTCGATATTTAGCACATCTAAGAATCAGGTAGCATTGTAAGACACCTAACTTTGACTCTAAGCTTTAATCGATCCTAACTAGCTACGCTCCTTTCTGATGACTTATTTGAAAAGAGGGGCCTCTTGCTCCATCACATTATCATGCTCTGATTAAGAGAGTGCATGTTTGTAAAACACAGTGCATGGCCTCAGCCAATCAACCTGCTGCTCACAGCTCTACAATGAATTAAAAATGTTAACCATTTTAATTGAAAGAAGAAATAGAAAATCAATATGTGACTGTCAATTATGTTATTATGGTGGCCCGCCATAAATCAATCAATACTAGGCAGTCATGAATACTCTTCATGCGGCCCCCAGCCTGTGCACCATGGTGGCCCTGCAGTGGGAGCCGCAGATCATCGCCGTGGCCGTTATGTATCTGGCTGGACGCCTCTCTAAGTTTGACATCCAGGACTGGACCTCCAAGCAGTTGTCCCAGCGCTGGTGGGAGCAGTTTGTCCACGATGTGCCTGTTGAGGTGCTTGAAGGTGAGGAGAACTATCACACTATCCACAGTACATCAAACATATATAATAATCCGTTTTCCTCCACTGATCTCTCATGCTGTCCTCCATCGCAAAGATATCTGCCACCAGATCCTGGACCTGTATTCTCAGGCCAAGCAGAAAATTCCTGATGGAGGGATGGGGACAGCTGGAACCCCCCCCCAGCTTTCCCTCCTATCCCCCCCTGCCCCACCGCAGGCCAAGAAGGCCTCCCCTCAGACCAGCCCCCGATTACCAAGACCAGCCCAGGTGAGTGGGTGTGTTACATCTCATTTTATGCCAAACATGTTTTTCTGACTCAGACTGAGACTGCATTTTTGTATTTTAGCCATCGCCAAAAGATGACAGCAAGCCCAGCAGTGAGTACAAACCCAGACCTAACCCTGAGCTCCATCTATTTTCGTTTTTACATTGTTTTTCTTTATCGACACCTTTTGTTTTCCAGAGCTGTCAAATCTAGAACCTCCTCCACCTCCGGCCCCCCCTCCTCCTCCAGTCTCCATAAACCCAGGTCAGAAAGTGTCTGCTCTTATCCTCCTTTGACACCATTAGTTTTAAAACTGGAATCAATTGCATGAAATAAGAGGTTCACCACAGTATTAACATTTTCTGCAACCATATTCCTGTTTATTCTGCCTCAATTCAATTCAAAACCTTTATTTATCCAAGTGACATCCCATTGAGAGCAATGATCTCTTTTTCAAGGGTGACCTACTCTTGCATGGTAATAAAGGGGGTCATTTGTATTCTTGTGACAGTAAAACAGCTTCACCCTTCACCATGTGTCTTGTGAGGATGAGGAAAATAGAGAGCTGCCTTTTTTAAGTAGCATTTAACTCGACTAAAAAGTAACAGCATTATTATTATTTTACCAATTACTGTATAAGAAAACATTATTAGTTACAAGGGAAATTTTATTATGTTGTAATTATTATTATTATTTTTCATTTGTATTTTTTTATTATTATTTGAAGAATCTTAACATACCTTAATGTGTTATGTCACTTAGTTGTTTGTTTTTAAACTGCTGCTACTAATTTTAAAGGTGGGGTAGGTAATTTCGGAGAAACCAGCTCGAGTGCGCTAGAATCTGAAAATACACAACTGGAAAAAATCTGCCACTTCCTTACAGAGCCAGATCAGACAGGCTTCCTTGTCTGCGATACACAGAGAACAAGCGAAACTCATCCTGAGCACACACAAACACTCACAGTATTGAGTAAGAAAAAGGTTTATAACGCTGTGAGCATGGGTCTGCGGAGAGCATTTCTCCGCGATCCCAACGTAGTAGTCCGAAAAACGTTTACCCATTTAAACAGTCGTGATAGATACCTTGTTTGTTTTAAACATCATAAATACACAAACAACAATGAATACCTACAGGTTGTGTACCCAAATCTCTTGCTGGTCCAAACAAAGTAGGAACAGCATCGTTTTTCAGTGCCCTACGCTGTGCATATCCGGCATGAATCGCCATTCATTCCAAGTCAAGTGCATTTTCTTTTCTCTGTAGGATAACTACAACAAAGTGCATTCAGAACAAAGCCAAGGTGCTTTAAAACTGCATAAACATCTAGGCCAGTAGGCCTACAACAAAATAGTGTAAATAAAGACTGTAACAGCCAGTCCTTCAACAACAACAAATGCACCTATAAGTTTGGTAACCTAACGTGTTGTTGTGATGACGTTATCAAAACACGGCGACAAGCACGGCGCGCGACCATGCTCGCGGCTGGCTCACAGCCAACATGTCTGCCGCTTGGAGATATTTCAAAATATCAGAGAAAGAGGCGCGGATTGCGATTTGTAAAACGTGTTCAGCTGACATTTCTTGAGGGGGTGTAACTGCTAAGACTTTCACCACTTCGGGATTACTCCACCACTTGAAATCAAAACACCCGGACAAATATGCGGAGTATGATCAACGTAACCCTGTTCTCTGACATTCGGTGACATTCCGAAAGCCGAAAGGGCCTTTTTAACCATTTTCGGCCAATCATTTTCGGTGGCCGAATATTCGGTGCATCCCTAGTACAAACCTTTTTGATGTATTGACATTCACTTCATCTCTTTTCTCTTTTACAGACCATAAACCCCCTTCCTCCTATCCACCAGCCTCGGATCTCTCATCCAGACCACCCCCCCCACCTTTACCCCATTGCCCACCACCACCACCTCCTCCTCCCATGGACCTCACCACCTCCAGCTCCCTGGTGTCCAGTGAAGGTTATCAGAAGCTCCAGTCCATGATGAGGACAGAGGCCTCCTGTTACACCACTGCCCCCCCGGCCTGTTGTCCACCACTGGGCTTCCACCACTTCCCCCCTGGCACAACCCCCTTCCACACCCCCCCACTCTCAGCCTATAGCTACCTGCTGGCTCCTCCTCCCTCAGTCATTGGGATGGCACCTATTTTAAATAGTGGGTACCCCCCCCCACCAACAACTGCTGGACACAATCAACTGCCTCCTGGGATGCCGCCAGTCAATGGGCTGAGTCGGGGTACTTGGATGAGATGAGGATCAATACAATCCCTGTAAAGGCAGCTTTAGTGATATGAATGCTCTGTGTTAAAGGAGACATGGAGGATTGTAAAATACATGTGTAGCTTTAGCTCTCTTTTTTGCACATTATGTCATTACATTCTGTCATGTTTTAATGTAGACAGTTTACACATCCGTTTTATCTTCTAAAATGTCTATAATCGCCTGGTGTCCTATTGACATATTTTGGATGTTCAATAGCACAACACTTTCACTGTTATCTTTCCATACGCCTAATCAAGAGAACGCAGTACTGTAACGACAGCTTTCCCCCTATTCTAGTAGGGGTCTAGTAAGGCTAGTCTGTAAACGGCTATGCATTTCACAACTGCCAATTCAATTCAAACAGATTAGTTTCCTTTGTCAAATATCTTTCTACTGGTATATGATGAAAAGGAAACTCTGGAAAAGATCATTTTTGTAAGGATGTAATGTTGTGAATACATAGGCACACTTTTTCAAAAATGCTTCTATTTAAACTTATTTTTTGTTCATAATAAAAACCTGAAAAACCAGTAGCTGAAGATACAATATTTAAAAAATGTTCCTGTTAATGTAGTAGATATATATGATGTAGGCTCTATAGGTCAGTTATATATAGGGATGGGTATCGTTTGAAATGTATCGATTCCGGTTCTGCTTATCGATTCCGGTTCTTAATGATTCCCCGTTTCGATTCCAAAATTGTTAAAGAAAGAGGTCAAACGTTTAGATAACAAAAATATCTTTATTCTTTTAAGCTTTAACTGACATTTTTACAAATAAAAAAAATACATGAAATACAAATGTATTGCACAATAGCGGTGCTTTATTTTACCTAAGCTATGCCTGTGGCAAGCTATTAACAGGCATTACACTGTGCCTTGTCTTTTTCTTTTTTAGTGTAGTGGAGCCTCACTTTAGAGCGTTTACCACGATCCATCTTTGGTGTTATGAAGTGATTGAGCTCGCAAACTGTCTACGGGAGCGCTGGGGGAGCCTCGCTGCGGGGGCAACTGTGGATCTCTGTCGCCTGTCAGCGCAACTTACTTGATGCCGTTTAAAAAAAATTAAGGGCGGTGCCGGCGTCAGCGTACCGAGCCGGCCGTCAACGGCCCGCTGACCACCGGCCGTTCTGTGATTCTCCAGAACACACATATGGCCAGTGGCGTAGACGGACCCGATGGGATAAAGGGTCTACTGCGTTTAGGAACCGTTAAGCAGAACCAAAATTGTGTATTTTGTATGTGTACCCGGTACCCGGCATTTTCTTATCGGTTCTCATCTGGAACCGAGTTTCGGTTCTCAACCCTAGTTATATATATATATATAACTATTGTAGAGCCGCTGTATTCAGAAAGGACTTCCACACTTTATTATTCATTAATCAAGAAGACGTAAGTACATGTGCTACTCTGTGTAACCAGCTAGCATGAATGACGTCAAACCCCGGTACCCTCACTAACGGGTCCGGGTTGCAACACACACAAATCACACAGTGAATTATATACCAATAATGTGTCACCACACAAGCCCCCCCAGAATTCCCCCATAAACAAAGTCAGCGTGGTGGGGCGGAACGATAGGCCGACCCCCACGACTCCTGAGCACGGGAGTCGGAAAAACGACCTCTGCCTGTGCAGCCTCCGGAAGAGGCGAGACCGGAACAACGGGTCTCAACTCAGCGACCGGGATCAAGGCCAGGGGGCGGCCCCGTCGCGGAGGTCGAGCCAGTACCACCGGCTGGTCCAAGTCCAGCTGAGCAGCTTTCACCCGGTCCACCGAGACGTGCTCGTTACCAAGTGTTTGTCCCCATGTTCCAAGACCCGGAAAGGCCCATCGTAAGGGGACTGCACGGGGCCTCTGTGCGCGTCATGTCGGATGAACACATGCACCGCCGAGCGGAGCTCCACGGGAACCCGGGACACCTGAGTTCCGTGCCAAGCAGTGGGCATCGGAGCAAAGGCCTCAGCGGCGTCCTGCAGGAAAGCTCGCTGGGCAGTTGCTGACCAGGGAGCCGATGCATTGGGGAGGAAATCCCCCGGAACTC